CGGCCGCGTCCGCTGCTTCGTCCGATCAGCCGGCTGCCGCTTCTGTGGCTTCTGCCCCAGAGGCCAAGACGATGACAGCGGAAGAGGAGGCGGAGGATGCTAGGGCGGCTGAGCAGGCTAGAGCGGAGATCGAGAAAGCGGCGGAGGAGGCCAGAGCGGCGAGAGAGAGGTCGAGAGCAGCGTTGGCGGCAGCGGAAGCAGAAGCGAAAGCTGCGGCGGAGGCTAAGGCAGCAGCAGCGGAGACTAAGGGCGGCCGTGCGTCCAGCAGCGGGCTGCAAACCCCGCCGGCGCCCGAGAGCGAGCATCATGAAGAGGTCAGGGCTTCTTCGTCCGCGGTGTCGTCTTCGGCTGTCGCCAGGGAGCTTTCGTTCGATGGCACTGGTGCCGGGAAAGACGTGAGTATCCGTAACGACATCCGAGATAAATACAAGTATAACTTTGCGTCGCCAATATTGAAAATTGAAGAATGACCCCAAACAAAGCATTCACATATATTGTGCTGATATTTCTATCCATTGTGTCCATTTTTTGAGAGGTGACGATGCCTGCTTTTCGTTCTTTTGGGTGTTTCTCCCACCCTTACTACGCTCTCCCTGGAAGAAACGGTTGCTCTACCTTCCTGGCGCGCGTGACGAGCGTTTGTAATTTCGGCCCCCGTCGACCGAGAGCATTTTTCAGACTAATTATTGTAGATGTTGATGCACCCGTATCGCGTTTGGTGTCGATGGTCGTTGCTTTTATGGTACTGTTTTGTAAATGCAAGTGTTGTACGAAGTGTGTTATGTTTTCATCACTGGTACTGCTTTGTAAGTGAAAGTGTGGTAGAAAGTATGTTTTGTTTGCATCACCCTTGGCCTGGACCTGCGGATCGGCATGCACTCCTGCATGCTGTAGCCGATTGATGATCGTCCCAATACTGAGGCTTCAATGCGTTCCTCTTCTGTCTTCTCTCGTGCCTTGTCTTGCATCAAAGCGGCGGCGGTTGCTGTAAGTGGCTGAATTCAATGTTTTCCTGAAACCCCGGCACTCACGAAAAGCTTCCTGTCTTTTGTCGTGGCCACTTGCTGCCTTCGCAGGCCCCCGCAACAGCCACGGAGCCCCCTTCCTTGCCCCCTTCCTCTTGTGAGCGATGACTTGTGATAATCGGGAGTAACCTGTAGTCTCTTCTCGCTGTTGACCAATGCTGCTGACACTCACGACCCCCGCCCCCTTCCTGTCCTTCCGCTGCTGCTGATATCACGGCCGCCGCCGCCGCTGCTGCTGCTGCTGCTACTGCTGCTGCTGCTGCTTCAGAAGGCCAAGATTCACGATATCACGGCGACAGTCGGCCCCCTAGGCCTCGGTCTAATGCTCGGGGAGGAGAAAGAAGGCACCCGATGGGTCGTCAAGGGATTCCGAGTCATGCCAGACGGAAAGCCCAACCCTGCCGAGGTGAGTTTGTCGAACATACCATTTGTTTTCTGTCGCTCTTACTGCTCTGTCGTTCCCAATTTCTTGCTGGTTTTTGTACTTGGGTGGAAAGCCTGAGCCTACAGAGGTGAGATATTGATTTTCTTGGCTCTCGCCTTGGGGTCTAGTTCGGTTAAAGCTAATCGTTTGTCGGTCGGGAGTGCCGGGACGCGCGTATGTTGTGTATCTGTCGCCTCAGCCGTAGATTGGGCACACGATTGACGTACGTGTAAGTCGTTTTTGTGGGGAGATGTATGCTACGGTAGCGCATCTGGGGTGCAATCTCCCCAACGTCTCTCGTGGGGGATTGATTGCCTCTTGTCACACCAGTTGGCTGTGTGCTGTATCACACAGCATTCGTTGTCTCGTGTTTTTGAGTATTGAAGTACTGTATGCGTTCGGATTGCGTCTCCCTGATATATATTTGCCCCTGGTGTTGTTGGAGGATCGATACGATGGTTGTGGCCGTGGTGGCGATTTTCCGGTGGTACGTGGCAACGATGTCACCAGCTGCTTTTGACGTGCTCATGCCCGTGCTCATGCCTACGGTCCGACACGCACTCACTCCCTAACTCTTCATTTTATTCCCCTCGCTTGTCCTTGTCTCGTCGTGCTATCTGTGACCACAGGCGGCCGGTATCGAAGTCGGCGACACACTTCAGAAACTGGGCGGGGTGCCCCTGGGCTCGTACAAAGACGGAATTGAGATTTTCAAGAAGCAAAGGGGCCCCGTCGTTCTCACCATTTCCCGCCAAAACGGTGCGAAATGATGATTTTCCCGTTCCGTTGCCGTTACGGTTACCGTTACCGTTGTAGGAGCCACCTGTTGCCAGATTCCAACCGGTTCCAGCAGCAAGGGTGATAGTATCGGACCAGCCGGCCGGAAAGGGAAGTTGGCCCGGACTGATGAAAGTTACAAGGAAATTATTTCCCCGCTGCTGCAGGGAAAGACGGGGTTTCATTCTGTTCCGATTTTTTCCCCCCACTCTCATAGATGCGTTTTTGTAAGGATGTACCTCTCAATACTGCAGAGGATAGAAGCGCTATGTTTATGCAGACGATAGGGTTTGTTTGTCCGGAAGTGTAACCTGCTATGCAGCGTGGTTGTCATTTTTTCCTGGTTTTGTTCGATGCACTTCCGAGAAAAATTCAATAAATATTTTCGTGGTCGCCGTTGACTGGCTCTTTGTTGGCTAACGCTTCGATCGGTTGGCTTGGGACATGACTAACGGTCGTTGATTACACAGAATCGCGTACCTGGGTCAGGTCAAGGTTCAATGGGGTTGACCGCCAACGCCATTTGGTGCTGTGATGGGCGAACAAAGCATGTGCGGCAGGACGGTCTGTACGTTCACCTGTTTGCGCGTCGCTCGTGCTCTCGGTGTGGTGATAGCTCTCATGGGGCCGTGAACTTCGTGCTTGATCGACCCTCCTTTGCCGGAAGCTCATGTTCAGTAAAGAAGCGTTTTAGTTCTTGTACCGGTGGCAACATGGAGAGGAAAAATTCCAATTAGAAGAACTCACTGACGAGAGAGGGGATTTTGTCGCCGCGGGCGAGTCATGTGTTGTTGGGCAGCGGGGAGCTTGTTTCTAGAGTCCGGGTGGTGTACAGGGGTGCTCGTAAGCGGAGTTTAGAGGAGCTTCTTCCACCAAACTTCCTCACTTCATCCGGTTTATACATCATTTTCTCTGCTTGTTGTTCCGGGACGATATGATGGATGGCGGCGCTGTTGCTGTAGAGTTATTGGCTAGCGGTTTGGGGAGTTGGGAGGCCAACGGTACTTGTAGTTGTGCGGAAGAAGTCGGATGACTGGAACAGTCGTTCGTGAAATCCTCTAGTGATAATTTTACATGTCAGTCAGACTCTCGTTTGCATCAGCCACCTGGTTAGTTTGATCCTGACAACGTCCTGGTAGCCCTGTGCCCTCGCTGTGCTCGCCGGTTTGGTTTGTACCGGACATGTAGACGTTCGGTGCAGAGACAATGACGGGCTCCGACACCTTTAATAGCATTTCACTAGCCCAAAGCCTGCGTTTCTACACCTTGGTCAACACCGGTGGAAGTAGAAAGTTCGAGTTTTGAACCCCCCAACCCCTGTACCCTCGCGGAATACAAAGTTCTTGCTTGGCATGGGCATGGGCAGCCTCACTGATTGAACATTTGTGTCAAGTGCATGGCATTCTTGAACGGTCACCCAGACTTGGGCTCACCTGGGGCCAACGCACGGCTGGCAATCTCTCTGAGAAACCTGCCTAGGCTCGTGTGTCGTTTGCCCGAAAATCACCTCCACCCTTAGCATGGCGAGACGACAGCCCGAGTGGAAAAGTGTGGATCAATGTCGGCATCAATCATTGAGTCGACCACGCGTGAGCTGCTATCACTTTTCTCCCTCTTGTCTCCTGTTTTCCGTGTCGGCACTCGGTCGCACAAAAGAAGTGATGGTGAAATTACTCTTATATCTGTTCTTTTGTTTTGTGCACGGTTCTGGAAATTGTTTAGAACATTCCCAGAAACGTTCCTCATGATACATCAGTCTCTTGGTGTACCAGCCTTTTCCAGTACGACTTTGGGCAGCTATGAAACAACCCCGCTTTTCCAGTGCGGTCCTGTTTTGACGCGTGTTGTACGCCTAACGCGCAAGCGTTCTTGGGCAGTCTTTGTGGGCCTCTGCTGTGCAGCAGCTACAATAGCTTTTTGGGGTTGTCCACCGCAAACCTCTGAGCTGAAAGCTAAGGGTGCCATCCGAGCCCCCCTCACGTCTTGAATGATTGAATGAAGCCTTGGGTGTGGCCGGTGTGAACCTGGCAGATCAGAATACCTACCGGTGCGCTTGGAAGTGACGGGATCAGCAGAGATGCTGCCAGGTGCATACAGAGAAATTAAACGATTGGTGATTGTTTATCAATCAACGCAAGCATAAGAAAAGGGGCGCCATAAAGGTTATAGTCGCTTGTACGGGCAGTCTAGCCATCACTTTTCTTGGTGGTGCCGCATGCCTTGGGCTCCAGGACGGAAGTCTTGATTGAAGCTCCTGAGCAAGAAAAATGGGAGCTCTCTTGTCCAGCCGAAAATTGGTCGTGCGTTTTGCCCTTGGGTATTATTTTGATCGGACTTGTAGTGAGTTTACAAGCCAGCCAGCTGTTGTGTCAGGTACGGAGCACTGTTGAGTTCCCTTAAATTGGATGGGAACCATTGCACTCCTCGGAAAAGGGTTTATCCACCCTTGTGTTGCGGCACGGACGGCTAAGCAGCCCGCTTTCTCCCCCCCCCCCCCCCCCCCC